TATAAGAGATTAAGTATTAATAATTCATATGGGCAAGTTAAATTTTCCCCAACAATACCATTATGTTTGAAAACATTTTAAGTTTCACAAGTAATGCTGGATAAAGTGGGGGTTATAGTAGTGACTAGTTCTATTACAACTACTTATGCTCAGTTAAATACCACTCTTTTTGAGGGCCAACAGTGTTATCAAGAAAGTAATCTATAAACTATAATATAGACATTATTTTGCATGGAAATTTCTACATAAGCATAGTTTGAATTAGAGTCAAGTTAGCCTCATTTAAAAATAAAGAGAAAAATGAATTTAAAAGAAGTCTGTATTTTTTGGTAAGGCTGCTGATTTTGATGAAATCAAATCAACTATGACTACCAAAGAGAAATATCCTCTTCTCTTCTGTAATTGACAATCATTTTATTTCAAGATAACTACACAAACTTTATAATTCTACAGGATATGATATAGAACAAAAAGAGTCTTTGAAATTCTGTTGTCCTCTTAGCTTTTATAAAATAGCAATGTATACAAAGTTGAATTAGGGCTGTTTTAATACTGAATCCTAAATTCTTTGGAAATTTTAAAGATGTAGTTAATTTAAAAATATACTACTATTCAAGTTTACTTTAAAAAATAATCTATAATGCACTTGGAAACATTTACATTTGACCATAGTTTAGAAATTCTACTTTAAATGATTTAAATTAAGCTTTTGCTTCTAAAGATACATACCAGTTATAGAAACACTGAAAGTGAACTTTTATTTTAATTCTAAATGACACTTTGTATAACTTATCCTGAGTTTAGAGCATGAAAATATAAAGATTATATCTGAGTAACCATTTTCTTTGGAGTTGGCCAATATTTTTTTAACAATGAAGTTGTCAAAATTTTGTTCCAAATGACTTATTCTACTGTAAAGAAATACAGTTGCCAGTTATAATATATTAATAGTATTTAATTAGTGATCAGGTATTTCAGGTTGGATATTTTTCCATTGTTATTATACTTTCATGGCAAATAAGTAAAAATGACAAGCTAGAGAAAAATCATCCAGATACGTTCCTCTGGCAGGTCCCTACTGACCTCCAATACACCAATATTGTAGTTACTTAAATAGTTTAGTTAGTTTAAGAAACAGCTTAAGGTAACACCATTCTAATGTCTTTTCCTTAAATTTTTAAGTAGCCCAATATATAAAAGAAATGATGCAAAGAAAGCCACATATACCAGTAAGAAATGTTTGTTTGCCATTACACAGACTTGTTTTAAAGATAATAAATTATGAAGTGAATTTCAATAAAGCATACTCTATTAAGTGCAATGAAGACAATGTGTTTTACTTTTCATGTGTCTGTAAACATTTTTGCTTTGTTGAGGTCAATATTGATGTAATAATTATTCTCTCTAGTTGTATCTTCCATACTTGAGAAGTTTCCCTGTTAGAGGAAAATATTTACAGATGTAGAAATGTAAATATTTACATTTTGTTGTCCTTGAAGGAATCCCAATTTATAGAAAATTAAAAATGGCATAAGACTCCAAATAAAAGAAAATAGGAACAAATAATGGAAATCAGAATCTGTGAGGCTTAGAGATTCTTTAAGAATCAGAAATTATATTAATAGTAAACTATTATGTAATAAAAAATATTTAAAAGTATTTGGGCATTCTTAAAAAAATCCAAACCCAAATATTAACAAAAAAATAATCATATTAAATTCTTTTGCCATAATTTTAGTCTCCATAGTCCAGGAAATTAAATATACCCATATGTATATGCTTAAACATACGTAAGGAAGAAACTAGCCAATTTGAGCAGCTATTTTGAGTATCTCAATGGTCAAATGAAAATAATTTTTTCCTTTGAATCAACAAAACTAGGTTGATGTAAAGTTGGCCATAAGACCAATCATAATGCAGAGTAATGTATAAAATGATACTAGATACATTCTTAACATTTAATGCTAATTCTGGCTGATCGTAGTATTCAAAATTATACTCCTTAAATCTACTGCATTTTAAAGTGAGAATCTCAGGTAGGTAAAATTTATACACATCTCTCCATCCTATTGGTAAGAGTTTCAGCTTTTGACATAAGCACAAAATACCACTCACTCCTTTTTGTAGCAACCATTTAATAAAAGGCTAACTAAGCCTTTGAGGAATTTAAGAAAAGTCAGATTTCATGTCTGTCCATTTTTACTTTAAAAGTAAAAAGATGTAATAGGAAAATCTGACCTACTTTTCCCCCTGTTCTGTTAGTTTTGAGTCTAGCTGGTACCCACCTATTAACCTATTTTCTATTTCAGGCAAATTTACTTTCCATGAAAATAGTTTCAGAAACTTAAAAAAAAATCCCTACATGTATCAAAAGAGCTTTTTCATATTAATAGTATATTTCCAATGCCATTAAATGATGGTAGAGTTGTTTAATTTGATATGTCAGTCATCAAAACATGGGCTGATGGAAAACATATTTGAGGAGACATCCACAAACCTACACGGAACGCTTTCATTATTTCTGGTAAGCTTTCTTTAGGCCCTATCGTGGAATTGATCCTGTGGTGAATTAATGAAAATCATTAACAAACACCTGGTGTATATGGGACTTTGAGGGCAAGCTGGATAATGAAAAAGTAATGAAAATTTCCTAATAAACTGCATTATATTGGCTGATCGAAACTACTCTTCTTGGGTTGGAAAGGCTTTTCTAGTAAAAAAAACTTTCGTTTCCTCCTTATCTAAGTGCATCTTGAATTTTCAAAAGAAAATTCATCCTATACCATGTAAAGTTCTTTAACATAGAAGATACTACCAGAGAGAATTCTTCCTGTGTTGAGAGTGGCCCCAAAAGTAAAGATATGGCAAAAGTAAAGATATATATATATATAAATTCTAAGAGTTAAAAACTTGACTCTTAGGAATCACTATGTACATGTTAAAATGAAGTTAACAATATTCAATTATCTAGTTCTGTAGAGTTAATTCAAAGTCCTGGCGTCAGCATCTCTTCATATTTTTTATAAACTCTATATGGAGACTATGTACTCATGAAAAAGAAACAGGCTAAAAGTTGTCATTTAAGGCACCTGAAAATGGAAAAAATTAAAGCTTGCAAGGGAAGGAAGAAAAATATGAGATTATGTTGTAAAAATGAAGCAAACACTAAAGCTCATATTTAGTTCATTCTTATACTACACAGAGATTGAGATGCTCAAACTGTTTTACAAATTAGTGTCATTTTAGAAGACAGAAAATAGAACACTTTACTAAACAGAATAATGTATCATTTTGCTTACATGTTCATTCCAGGCATTCCAGGACCACCTAAAGCATTCAGTGGGGGTCTCATTGCACCTCCATAGTTCTGTAATGATAACCAAGGGTCAGACTACCACAAAACAAAAAAACAAAACCAAAGAGGAGGGGGGAAAGAAAGGAAAGCAGGTTAATGATTTCCCTACATAACTCCTGACTGGGTAAGGCCTGTGTAATTCATTCTCTGAAGGGTCCACTCTTGTACTTTTCCTTCTATTTTAACAATTACTTTGGTTTATGTTTTTTAAAAACTATGTGAATATGTAAGATCATCGGTGCATGTTAAATGATTAAGGTATGGTTGTAATTATAATTAATACTCAATATATATTTATTAATTTCCTAATATCTATATAATAGTGAACTTTTTCAAATAAAATATTTCATAAATCCAAAATTCTGTTTTTAAAGAAAAGATTTATTCAACATGTTTGAAATTGTCAGACTTAGAACAATGACATAAAGTCTGAAAAAAAAGAACAACAGGTGAATCCAACACAAGAAAGTTGAATGTAAACTTGTGTTCACAAAATAACACATCCAACACAGAAACGCACTAATATATACAAATACACAAAAATATATGAAAACTAAAGTATACTGAAAATATGTATACATGAATTATATGACTCAATAAGCTTCTGTTAATATCTATTATGTGCATTCAAAAGATAAAAATATTTTAATGTTTCAATATGAATATATCAGTTTAGTTGGCATATGGACCAAAAGGCTAATTTTATCATTATCATGTTAATATATTTTGACATTACCAATGACTTTCACTCTTGGCTTTCTGACAACACTACTCCTCCAACTTTTTTGAGTACTCTTTTTCAATTTCCTTTGCTGGCTCTTTTTATTTTGCTAACTCTTTAAATGTTGCTTTGCTCCAAGTTCTGGTGACAACATTTTTTTCAATAAATACATATTTATGGATAATGTTATCTACTACCATTTGTTCAACAACTATTTATATGTTAGGAATCCCAAATCTTTATATTTTATCACGATGTCTTTCCTAAGCTCCTAGATAAATCATATGTTGAACTTCACAGGGGTTGTTTCCATCTGGATACCATCTTACACTCAACATATCTAAAAGTAAGCTCAATATTATCTTCTCATGACTGAGTTTTTTACAAGGCCTTCCTCAGTCCGTTCTGTGGCATCACCTTCCACATGATAGTCCAAGCTAAGAATTTCTAGGACTTCTCTGATGCCTCTTCCTTTTCTTTCAATTCCCATGCCCAGTCAGTTACTATAGTCTGTTGATTCTACCTGAAATAACTCTTGAAATAGTGCTCTCTTTCCTATCACTAATCTTTGCCATTTACTGAGACTATTGTACTGTCTTAACTGGGTCTCTGTTTTAGTCTCTCTTGCTCCTAATCTATTCTCCATACTGCCTAAAGAGCTGTCATTCTAAAACTTAGTCCTATTCATGTCACTTAAAATCTATGATGACCCACATTACCTATCAAATAAGTCTAAACTCCTGGGCATGGCTCTATGAGGTTATTCAGAGCTAAGCCCCAGCCTATCTTTTCTGTCCTTATTTCCTATAGTTTTCACCTTCATTCCCCACTCCACAGCATACCCTCTAGCCCTACTGGATTTCTTGAAGTTCAGAAACACAAAATCCACTTTTATACTCATGTTAATTCATCTTCCTTAGCCTTTTGAGTAGAGGGTGCTAAGATGACAAGGAAATAAATCAATGAGAGAAGGTCTGTTAACTTCAGAGAATAAACCAGAGTTGATAAATGAAATTACCTAGTTATATGCTGTCTTCATTGTTTTATTTATTTTTATTTTAAGGAAATCTTATCTAAATATCTCAATGTGAGCTATGGGATAGTAGAATGGTTTCTATCCATATCTGAGCTACTGGTTACAAGGACAGTTATTTCTTTTAACTCAGGATCAAGCATGGTGGTGGCAGCAGCAGGAGCATTAGCAATGGGTTTCTGAGAAAAAAGATAGTTACTGGAAACAAAATCTGAATGGTAAAGCATACTAGAAAAGCCTCACAAGGAAAGTCTCTCCTCATTTTTGGTCTTAGAAGATCTGTGCTTTATTTTTATCAAGGAAAAAATTAATTTGCCTTATAACTCTGGACTTACAAAGACATTGGTTTGAATCTCTGTTGCCACTGCCCCATTTCCTCTATCTTTCTACATGTGTGATCTTGGGCCAATGATTCTCCCAATGATTTCCTAATCTTAATTTTCTTATCTGTAAAGTCACTTATCTCACTTATAGGCTTATTGGAGACTAAAATGACATATAAAGCACCTATCATAGTACTTGGTGAATTAAAAGCATGGTATATGGTGCTCAAAAATTATAGCTGCTAACTCTTTTTTAAATCACTATTAATAAGGGACTAAATTAAACAAGTCCTCTTCTCATTAGCTTCCCAAGAGCCCTCAACTCTAACAGAATTATTTGCTTATATAAAGAGTATGTATATTTCTTTTCTAGACTTTTCATATTATATAATAATTTGTCTTTATTTGTCTGCATCTTCTACTAAACAATTAGTACCTTGAAGGCAGAGTATTTATTTGACTCGTCTTTGTATACCCAGTGTTCAAGTATGGTGTCTGGCACGTAGTAGGCCTTCAATAAATGATGGGCTAATTAAACTGAATTGTCACAGGAAATGAGTAAGAAATTATTCAATACATATTTGACAGATTTACAAAATATTTTCATTTTCTGAATAATCTAAAGCAAAAAGAAATCAGAAAGATAAGAGAGAATAACAGCTCACTTTCCAAATGGTATCAACAAAAGCAGAAAGGGAAGAGCTAATTTAGAATCACTGAATTTTAAAGCTGATTGCAACTATACAATTCCATCTGGTCTAATCTCTCTCCCAATGCAATGTTCCTGACAAAATGGCTGTTTAGACTCTGCTTGGAAAGTTTATAAAAAGTCTTTCCATGATTGGGCAGTTTAATTTCTAGAAAGTTCTTCCCTGTACTGAGCTGAATTCTATTGCGCATCTTAGATTTGAAAATACAGAATCAGTTTACTACTCTCTCTTTACGTGAGAGCCCATCATATAGTTCAATCTCACCATTTCTCCACCGCAATCATCTGATTTAGAAATCATATGTCCTACTTGTATATAACTTATTTACTCTTCATATTTCCAGAGAAACTAGAACTAATTGGGTAATTTGGTAAATTTTTCTGTTAAACATATCGCACTTGCTGAGCTTAAAAAGAACATAAGTTAGCTAAGTACATCTTATTACAAAATCAACTAGAAAAATGACTTCAAATATGGTGCTAGAAAAGACATTTTTTCTTGATTGAATAGGTAATCTTACTTTTCTATTGAAAGGATACTAGTATCATTGTACTTAGATCTAAAATAGAATAAGGGGTAGAAAAATATGCCTGGATTGGGGCAAACTTTTATTTTTTCATTCATGCAATAAGTGTTAATCACATATTTACTATATTCTACGTGTGTATTTTGCCTAACAACATAATCCAAAAATTATATATATTTCTTTGTTTTGGGAATTCAATTGTTCCAATAGATAACCACCATTCTCCTTCATCACACTGATCTTAAGCTCAAAAAATTATGCAAGTAATATCTATGATAAAAAAAAGAGATGTGTACTTTGTGCATAAAGCTAGCGACAATATTCCAGAAAGTTTTTCTAAAAAAGGCAGATACATTCTGCTCTTGGATGGTATCTGTATGATTAAATGTCTGTCATGAGAGTTGTTTTTCCATTATCTTTCAAGAAATACAGTGAATCTTGGTAACAAATTTCATAGTTTATAAT